TCTGGAAAAGGCCAAGAGAAATAAGTAAAAATAGTTAGGGCATGCCGAAGAAGAACTGTTCAGTGCCTTGAAGCTGTGGCAAATAGTTGAAACCGCTTGCTATATGCCTGTAATAATAAGGGTTAGGTTCAGTTGCAACTGACAGAACACATGAAAGAGTTCAAGTACCAAATTCCCCTTTGTGTTGTCAGCTGAGTTCCACATGAACACTACACTTCCGCTACAAGAAGTGTCTTTGTTAGAAAATTTAAGCAGCCCTAGAGAAAAATTAGGACCCAGAAGAACCCCCTTTGAAGATGAATTTTCTATGTTTACTCTTAATTATTTGTAGGAGAAAGGAAACTGAAGACATCTCATTTCATCTTGTCTTAGATTTAAATGTATGGCTTCAAATTGTGTAAATTGGAAGATCTTCACTTATTTTCATTATGCCCTTCTTGAACTATGGCAGAAATAAATGCTAGAGTCACAGCTGCAGATAATTTTAACCAAGCTACAGGGTCAGTCACTCCTGTGTGCTGAGACCTTAGAGTCCAAACTGCAGCCTTTGAACATGTTATTTCAGTGGCTACACTGCTTTGGAAACAGTCCAAACTAAATGGTTACTAAGGCTGCTCTGCAGTTCAGCATGGTGGCGTTAAATGCAGTGAGGTCTACAAAAGCCTCAATTCCTCTCTGGGATTGAGATTATGCACAGCATGAGGTACACTTCCCCACATACACACCCTTCTCTTCCAATGCACTGGTTTTGGTAATTGTGCCCAACCAGAGGAATCAAGGCTGCAGCAGTAGGGACCTTCATAGCAGTTTATAAGATTAATGATAGGCTTTTACTTTGAGGAAGTACACACCTTTGCTCCCTCCCTTTATTATTTCTTTTTAAATTCTGCAATTCCCCATGGGACCCACTCAGGCCTCTCATTCTCAAACCAGTTCCCATGACCTGGATGTTCCTCTATCCCATGTTCATCACCACTGCATACCCCTCATCTCCTTCCTTCATTACCCTGATGCTGTTTTTTGGTAACTTCTACCTTCTGCCTTCTCCCTTCTTCTCATTTTCTCCTCAATTTCTCACTCTTCTGAAATGACTGAAACACCCAGCATTCCCCTGATGCTGCTCCTGTTGAGTGCACAATGACCTCATTAAAAAGCATCATGAACACTCTTCTGTTATTAGCTAAATGAAGTCTCTTTATATCAGATGGTTAACTCCCTAGTTTTTGAAATTATATACACTCTGACATTTATTTCTCCTGATTCTCCTCCTGCCCGTCTGTGTATAGAAATTTGAATCAGATAACTTGCAAAAGAGAACATCAAATAAATAAGCTCAGCTTGTGTTGCTAGCAACCACATTTCTGGATGGTATTACTCATCCACAATAAGTCATTATCCGTGGATGATATAAAAGTGTTGATGTGTAAGGATGCAGTAGTTCAAGACCGCTTATATCACTGTAATTCTATTTAAAATATTTGATGATATGGCTACATGACATAATAACACTTAAAAATATTTGTATGTGTAATTGATAGTGTTCTTTAATAATTATGAAAAAGCCTTTAATTACTTATTGCAACCTAATAATGTGATCTTATAAATAGTATGCCCTCACTACTATTTTAATCAAACTATTTGGGTTCTTTTGAAGTTATTTATATAATACTAAATAATTTGTATAATAGCTAGTTACCTAAGTATCAGTTTTACTAGACAGTTAATTCCTTGTAGAATTAAAATCATGTCTTGGCATACCTTAAGGAAACTTGGATGTAGGTTTCAATAAATTAGATTTATTAAAATGTTAGACAACTATTTTTCTTTTTAAGAAAAAGACTTAAAAGATCCTTTACAGTAATGAATTTTCCATTAGTGTAATGATATTCACCTAACACTACAGTATTCATTTTCTGGCCAATAATATTGCAGATTATCTAATAACTAGAAGATACAAATCATAGTCAGATGTAGAATTAGTATGATTTGACTTGTGATTTTCCAGTTTATATAACAGCTAAGTTACATAATCATAGCTTCAATAACAGTAGTTTCTGTGATTTATAATGTATTGCCAACTATCTTAGCAAATAAATAAGACACACATCTGAGTAGCAATGAAAAGAAAAACATATTAAAATCAAACACAGCTTATTAAAGAATTCAAGTTTTCAACCAGGCTCTGGAACAGTAATCATTAGTCCTTTGCACTGCATTGAAAAGATGCCAATTATTTCTGATTATGATTAATGGTTCACTTTAGGCAGCCAATTTTCTTTGCCATTTAAAAGATTGTGTCCAAGGATTTTGTCTTATTTCAGGTCGTGTTATTTGTAAATCTGAAAAATCAGACAACAAAATGTTGAATTTATAATTTTATTTTATTAGTGTAAAAGTCCTGTAGGCAGGAAAATAACAACCTGGATGCCTAATGCTGACATGAAGTCTAATAACCACATGATGTAAAGAAAAAAGTTTTTAAAAGCACTAACTAAATACCAGTGCCAAGCTATGAATTGATCCCACGGAGCAGGAAGACTACTTCGATGTGTGTGGCCAATGTTTACCATTTTTACAACATGCAATATATATATATATATTTTTTTAAATAAAAAGTCTTTAAATAATTTTTGTATGACAATAAGAGGAGAAAAGAATAGCAAAATGTCAACTGGTATTTAAAAAAAGAAAAAAAGTGTTCATAGGTGTCAAAAATGAATAAAAGGAACATTGCCTCACTTCCTATCAGAGAATAAGTCCCAGTAACAGAATAAATGAGGTATGAACATGTACATTAAGATATTACTCAGATCATCATGTTACCTATGCATCAAATAGGAAACAAGAGATAGAGTACTGGGTTTGGGGTGGGGAGGTGGGGATAATCTAGGAAAGATTTTAAAAGATAATTATGGGCATACATTTCAAAAAGAAAGACTAAATAGAGCAATAGATATACTAGAATAATTATATAGTAATTAACATGCCCTCTTTCTTCCTCTTTGGGGAATTTTTTTTCATTTAGATAAAAATGAGTCCTGACTGCCACAATATTTCATTTGGCAGTATATCAGGTAATTTATATTTCAAATATGATCTCATCATCAGTTCCATCTGTTGATATTAACTGAATATTCATAATGTTTGAAACTATGACTTGTAGAAAAGATACCTAAAAATCAAAATCTTTGAATCTGAAACTCACATACCAATGAAAACTTCTAAGTGTGTCTTATATTGTATATGTTGTACATTCATTTTAAGTCTTTACTTTTATTCCACCATCTCTCCACTCTAAGCCCAAGGACCAGAGCAGGGAGAAAATATAGGCAGCGGCCATAGAATAAGCTCCAATAAATGTTAGACCTTCTTAAAGAGGTCTAGCATATTTTTTTTATGCTAAGCCATGAGAGAAGAGAGGATAACTAGTTACAGGGCTCTGATCCTAACCAATCCTTGTTTAAGGGCTATTCATAGATTCAAAGGATCTTTGCCCTTTCACTCACATTTCATTTTAAAACTGAAAGCTGTAAAAAGCAAAAGGTCGAGACAAGGTTGGCACAAAGAAGTACTCTAAGTGCTGGATTCATAAATGTGCCCCTTTGTCCTTTACCCAGATACTAACACCTTTGCTTCCCTTCCAAATGCAGAAAATCTGGACCAAGTACAGGGTAGAGACTATCCAATCCTCCCTGGAAGTCTGTCTCAGTAATCTTGCATGTGCCTTCTCAACCTTCAAGACCCAATTCAAGTTGTTTCATAGTATTTTTATTTGTTCCATCCACACAGATTTAACCAAAATTCCATTGGGTCAAACTTTTACCTTGAGTGCAGTTATTATTATGGTTTTTAAACTAATTTACATTTATATATTTGAATATGTATCTCCTCTACTAGATTATGAGTTTGAGTATGCAGTGACGTGCCTCACCTAATGGGTCACTAAATTCAACCCAATTCTACATTATTCCCATGCCACAAGAGGAAGAAAAGTTAAATATTGCCTTCCCCAGTAACAATAATGGGCCCTCCATAAATACAGTTTGCATTGTTGTAACTAAAAATGCAAGTTCAGCACTGGCCAGTTTGGCTCAGGGGTTGGAGCATCAGCCTGCGGACCAGAGAGTCCTAGGTTCAGTTCCCACTAGGGGCATGTACCAAAAAAAAGAAAAAGAAAACAAAAAAGAAAATGCAGGTTCAGCTGCTGCCTTAAGGAAAGCCAAACTTCTGAAACAACAGGTGCTGGTGTAAAAGGAAAGAGATTTATTCAGTTGTGGTGACCCAGTAGGCTTTCTTCTCAAAGACCATCCTCAGTTCTTGCTCAAGCCCACCATTCTTATAGAGATAGGAAGGAGAGGGTTTTTTCTATCCAATTATCTTGCTAGCTTCTATGTGCTGGGGCCCTGTCCATTCATCTCTCTAGCTTTTGTAAGTGTAATGCTCAGTGTAAGATCCAACCCATGTGGTCATCTTGGCCAGTGAGAGAGACTCCCAGGCGCTTCATCTGACTGTCTACAGTATTATTGTTCCTCCTACATCTTCTCTGCCGTAGTTGAACTAAAAAATGCTGTTGCTACCCTGCTCAAAGGGAGAGTCAAAATATATGTTCAAAATTAATTCTACCTAGTGTGGAAAATTACCAAAAAAGCATTTATGAAATTGTTATTGACTGAAGGCAGTGCTGTATTTGGTTTCTGGTTTATCTTATCAAAATTATGTCTAGAGCAATGTAATATTCTTCAGTAAAGAGATTTTAAGAGCCTACTCAAAGTAGGATGTTGCTGCTTTATTCAAGCAATATTTTAAAGGATGTTTTTGCCCTGAGTAAAAGAAAAAAGAAGTTATTTGGAAATAACCACTCAGATTTTTTAAATTTCTAAGCATCCATTATATATTTTGGAACATAAAAATGTTGATAAAGAATCAGTGCCTGTCTACATTGTTAAAGGGAAGGAAAAAAAAATGTTTTTAATAACCATCTGAATTTTTTTCCCCACTAGGATATTCAATACTTCAAGCAATTATGGAAAAAGCAGGACAAAATGGTTGGCATGTCAGTGCTATATGTGTGGAAAATTTTAATGATGTCAGCTATCGACAACTTCTAGAAGAACTTGATAGAAGACAAGAGAAGAAATTTGTAATAGACTGTGAGATAGAGAGGCTTCAAAACATATTAGAACAGGTAAGTCCTGAATTTTATATTATTTTAACCTAGAACTTCTACTAAAAAAGATGATCTTTGATTTACTTGTCTCCATCAATATCATCTTCCAGTAGTTTAGTCTGAATGTGGAGTTCAGGAGTTTTCATTCTATGGTTTATCTCCAAGACTAAATCATAATCTTCTATCACCAAAGGCCATTTTAGTTCTTAGGTCTTAATGCAGGGGGGAGCACTATTTCTCATATATTTTAAAGATTAATAATGTTTGAAACTCTGACCTGTAGAAAACATACCTAAAAATCAAAATCTTTGAATCCAAGACTCACATACCAATGAAAACTTCCAAGTGTGCTTTAACATTGCATATGTTGTACATCCGTTTTCAGTCTTCACTTTGATCCACCCCTCTCTCCACTCTGACCCAGGAACCAGAGCAGGGAGCTGCCGTAGAATAAGCTCCAATAAAGGTTGGAATCTTTTCTGAACCCTCTAGATCTCTTGGTGTCCTATTTTCATAAACATTAATTTTAAAGATTCATACCATTTAAAATATTTGAAAACTGTAATGTTTGTGATGTATGCTTTTTCTAACCTTTAGAGGAATAACTAAATGAGAAATAAAAACAGGAATTACTAAAGTAATGAAATAAAGTCAAATTAAGTGGCATTCATACTGTGTGAGGAATCTTTTCTTTCAGATGTGTTAAATAAATACCACTACCACAGGAAAGGTGGTTTTCAACTCTGCACAAAGGAAAAATCTTTGAATAACGCTTTCAATAAGTATTTGTTGATTTTATTTGAAGGAAACTATAAAGTAGAGCTTTGTCATTGTGTTAAATGATTGGAAAATATCACCAAATAATGGATAACATTTGCCTTCCCCTTAACCTGCATATCATGATAAAGCTTTGAAAGTCTGTATTTGGCCAAAATTGCAGTGAATGAATGCCATCTAGTGGTTTTAGGAATGTTTGCCTGTATTTATCTACAATATGTTGTTAGGTTGGCTAGACAATGTCATAACATAATGGTTTTTTTGGTTAATTTTCTACATATAATTTATCTACATAATTATATGATTTGATTTATAGTAGTAAATTTACCAACTAGCAAGATTATTTATAAGAATAACGAAATTCAACTATTCAAACCCAACATGTGTTTCAGAGATTCCTCCATATTATAGAAGGGTGCTGAACGAGATGCCTAAGTTTCTTCCCTCAACCATATTAGAATTTAAAACAGTTAAAGGTGAAAAGTCATGTTGTATTTATTATAAAGGTCTAGTGAAACCAGAGCATACTATAAGAGGAAATTATAGTGTATTCACTATCTGTTATCTTTTATAGAAGAAAAAAAAGCCCACTTGATTGAAAAAAATGTTTATATCATATTGGGAAATATTAATTATAAACCTGTACATTACTCAGGTTTATTCTTGAAAGAGTTCACAATTATTAAGGTTGTAATTATTTAGGGTATATAAAAATTTTTAATGTGTATTTATGGAGTCCAAGAGAACACTTTCTTTTTTACTTTCTTAAGCAAGGCGGTCACTGCAACTCAGAGTTCCATCCTTTCTCTCTCCCACCCCCGCCCGTGGAGAGTTTGAGTTGCTTGACCTGAACAACTGCAGCTTTGTAAATAACTCCTCGTCAATCTCAGAGAGCAGTCAATTCTAAGAACTGCCTGATTGCCAAGTTCCTGTCAGAGCTTGAGTAAGGCTCAGAAAGACGCGCCCCTTAGCACCTCTGCTCCAGAGGAGGCAGTTGAGTGGCCTAAGCATGCAGACCCCTCTCAGAGGCTTAGCTGGGTTCTGAGAGGAAAATCAGGTTAACTCTTTGTATAAGCCTTAAATATGCTCTTGCTAAGGGAAATGGACATCTTCACTTTTTTGTCATTTCAAAGAAATTATTTTTTCTCTTTTCCAGCCTTATTGAGATATGAATTATGTATAACATATGTAAGTTTAAGGTATACAACATGATAATGGGATACACTATTATATTGTGAAATGATTACCACAATAGGATGTTAACAAGTCCATTGCTTCACATAATTATCATTTCTTTGGGTAGATGAGGACATTTAAGAACTATTTTCTTAGCAATTTTCAAGTCTATAATCCAATATTGTTAATGATAGTCACTATGCTGTTCATTACATTGCCAGAACTTAGAAACCTTGAATGTCTACCTTTTCCATTTCTATTTCTATTCTTCTTGCCGAATGCTAAAAGTTTCTATCATGACTGCATAGTAGTAATGAGACTAGTAATGGACCTTTGTCCTTTTAAAATAACTCTCAGGTATAAATCTCATAAATTATAACCAAGCCTAGGGTATTGTGAGAATATAATATACTCTTAATTGTCCTATAAAATTTATCTGTAAGAAAAGCTTATTTCTGAAAATAATTGTTTTACTATTTATATTTTAATTCATTGTACCTCTAAGCAAAATCACTTTTAATGTTTCTAGTTTTACCCTTGACTCATCTAAACACAAGAGCTAATTCAGAAAGTTTAAGGAATTTATACATACATTTCAATACCTCTGTTATTCAACATCTTACATAAATGGAGACAATAGAAAACAACTTTAGAGAATTAACCAAAGCATTTTTTTAAAAATAAAAAGCTAAGTAATATTGATCAGAAAAGTATTTAAATGAAGTAGCCCTTTCTCAGAAGATGGTGAAATTAATACAATGAAAATAAAGGGATGTGTCAGTAAATTCTAGGATGGGTAGCCTTCACATTATGGCAACTGTCAATAATTACTTTTTTGACATTTCAATTTGTATCAGTTTTCAAAATCATAATGTAAATAGCTCACAAACACTTCATCTTCTGTATGTTTTCCAAATTATTTATAGGCCATGAACTAATTAGTTCTTATAAATGTATTGCTTTTTAAAATAGCAGTTAACCATATTTTCATTCAAACATTTCAAAACAAGTATTTGAAATGGTAGTTTAAGGTATATTGATTTTTCTACCCTAAATTACACCATAGAAAAAAAATGGAAGAATTTATGTAAATATCTCTCACTGAGCTATTTAAAGCAACAGAAACATAAAACTACAGTATTAGTTTTTTGTCATTTTGTTTGCATCAGGCTCCAATGAAATAAATTTCAATTTTGGCTCTCTAAATCTAATGGGCAATTTGGTCCACTCATCTGCAGAAAAAGAACTTTGAAAAAAAACTTATGACTAAGAATATTTTTAAGTATTTGTTTAAGTTTTGATCAATTATTGATAGACAGAATCTCAATTTTCACTTCAATTAATATAATCATTTTGGACAATGGCATTATTCATTTCACCTCCTTTACTTGCTTCAACAAAATATTAATTATTTTATGAAATAGTTTATAATAGCTTAATATAAGTAGAAGAAAATTGTTTTCATAGTGAAATTAGTGACATAGTGAGAGCCTTTTCAAACATTATTTTATTTTCACACATATATATTAATTTTAAATCTTGAACTTGATTTCTTAAAAAGAGTCCCTGGAAACTCTAGTACTTTATCAATTGAACATTGAAGTATCAGACTTTAATTCACATGTTTAACCCAGTAGCACAAAAGCAGCAAAATTTGATCTATAACTTTCTGGCATCAAAAATTATTTGAGCAAAATAGCACTTAAAACTATCGTTTGCTCACAAATTTACTCCATCATGAAAAAACCTAAGGGCCCTACAAGTAGATTTCTGCGTTCCTGCCATCAGGGAAACCATTCTCTCTTGAACACTCAGTTCATCCTCTGAAATGTGCCGTTGTCACAGTGCATGGTGGGATGGCTTGTACTCCTCCAATTCATTCTTTGGTCAATTCACTTATAGCCTCAAAATTATGATGTTTCAGAAAAAGATAAGTGTTTTCACTTTTTGAGAGATAGATAAGAAATCTTTATTATTATATTTTTTTTATCCTCACCCGAGGACATTTTTCCATATTTTGTGCAGATAGAGTGGGAGGGAGAGAGAGGGAGAGAGAGAAAGAAACATCGAGGTGAAAGAGACACATTGAGTGGTTGCCACCCGCACAACCCAACCAGGGCGGGGGACAAACTGCAACCAAGGTATATGCCCTTAGTGGGAACCAAACCCAGGTCTCTCTGGACCGCAGGCCGACACTCTAACCGCTGAGCCAAACCAGCCAGGGCTTAATTTTTTTTAAAAGTAACTGAATCAGTGAACACATGATTCTTCTTTTTTACCGTAAATAGGGAGCATTGGGCTGAGATGATTTTGAAAAGCCTTGCTCACTCTAAAAGTCCACAAAGTTATTTTCAATGAAGACTTCCTGATAGTTGTGTTTGATCCTGAAGCATTATTTACTTTTACACATGAGGTGTTATACTAAAAAGAAGCAAAAATAAAACCTCAGTCCAGTGGCCTTTTCTATATATTTATTTATTCTACAAATATTTATTGAGGACCCACTGTGGGTCAGGCACTGTCAAAGATAAAGTGGTAAGCAAAACAGATACATTTTCTCTTCTACTGAGTAATTGTTATCTAGTTAACTGTGGTTTAAACAAAAAGCATTTGCTAAAATCCTACTAAAATAAATATATTCTTTCCTTTAGAAATATAGTACATAGTGATCAAGAATTTCATATTGCCTCAGGGATTTTGCTCTGAATGCCTGTTCTCATTGAATAGATGATGATATCAAAGGCAGTAGATAGAGAAATGGAACTGTATTGGCCCTGGGACATACCATAGATGTTTCTAAGGAATCTCAGTAAACAAAGTAGTTATCAGGAGAAGATAGCAAAACGTGACCTTATAGCATGAAATAGCTGTTCATCAAAAGAACAGAGAAAATGGCTCTGTAATTGGCTCACAGATATCTTGAACTGCCTCCAGCATGTACCTCAAATTTAATTGCTGCCCCTTCAGCAGTATTTTCACTTTAACTATATGAAAGGGAAATTCAGTGTTCCATTAGACACAATGTGAATCTCATTTAATGAGCAAACTCAGTGACCTTCCCCTAC